AAGGAATTTAATAATTTTATTTCTTTAGTGGCTTCACTAAAGGATGTCTCTTAGATAATACAGAAGGCATATGTTAAAGTTCCTAATGTCCAGGTTGGATGAAACTCAGCCAGGTCAACTGAATACCCATTCCTCGGATAATGCACCCATAACTAGCCGATATCCTTTTATAGACGGTGGCATCAGTGTCATTTAACTAGAGGACATTACAGGTAATGGCAGCAAAGAGGGCGACATTGCCTGCTATGATAGGCGCTGTGGCTGTAGTAAAGGAAGAACAAGATCATTTAAGACTCTAATATCATTTCAGAACTGCCGCAAACTAATATGATTAAACCCATAAAAATTGTTCCTGATGCAGTGATTGTTGGGCTCAGGGACGCAGGTCTATTCGTCTTAGACCAACAAATCTCCCATTGGATTGTTCAATACCAATCACCACCGCAGGTCTGTATATTCCAACAATCAAGAGGTCACAGGCAGCAGCTGGAATAATCTTGAGATGGTGACATTCATGACGATCCCTGTGCCACTCGGTACCGTTATTTCACTGATATTCTGCTTCCATTTAACAGCCTCATTGAATACATTAACTGCACACACAAGCTCTACTTTTGGTTTTTGGCCCTGTAAATTAACTTCTTGAAACCTAGAATCACTATGCAGCGACATCAGAATTTGTTTTATGCATGGCCAATCATTTCTGCTTCATAGGTAGAAACAATCCTTGGATTCCCACCATGGAAAAATCTGAAGATACCTTGGTAACTCAACTTAGAATTTGTATTATCATGTCCAAATTAGACTCTTGTTCTATAAAGCCATACGTATGTCTGCCTCTTCATATCACCAATCCTGAAACTTGTAGTAGCATCATTCTCAAGTAATCAGTGTCATGGAGGATGATCAGTTAGAGAGAGATATGATCAGCCAACTTCCCAACAGTATTCTTGGAACCATCTTGTCATTTCTCAGCTTGAGAGAAGTAGTGAGAACAAGTGTCCCTTCAATCAGATGGAGGAAGATTTGGACTGCATCTCTCTCAGTCCTCAACTTTGATGTAGACAATATGCTTGGCAAAATTCAGCACTCTGACGCTGATTATAGTTTTGGGCCTTATGGCTAGAGGGTTCATTGAGGTGACAGATTATCATTTCTTAGGAAAAGAAGGCAAGCCTTTGTTGATTCTATGAACCAATTTCTAATGTGTTTTGATTCTGATCAAAACGTAAGAAAACTAAAGGTTTTATTCAATATTTGCTATGGTAAGAACAACAGTGATCTTAATGGTTGGATTGTTTGCGCCACTAAAAGAGGGGTTTAGGAACTTGATCTTTGTTTGTTTGAAAGGAAATATTATGGTGCACGGGATGATGATGATTATGATAATAATGATGATCCTTTAATTCATTATTTTTATCTTGATGATTGGACCACTAGACCCTTGTGTAGATTGCATGACTTTTCCTATCATCTTCTTTTTGGTGATGGGAATGTAGGAGAATTAAGCTCAACATTGAGTTGCCTAAGATTGGAACAATGCAATTTGGCTCCAGAAAACCTCAATTTTCTTGGTTACAACACTCTCAAAACCCTAGATCTTTGATGCGTAGATTTGAAATCTGTTCAGCATTTTCAAAGTTTGTTATCTAGTTGCCCTCTGCTAGAATCACTGAGCTTACGTAAATGCTTCCACATTTCTCACTTGAAGATTAAGTATCATTCGAGCTCTCATTTGAAGTGCTTAAAGGTTCATGGTCGAAATGAATTGAAGCAGATGCAAATCAAGGAAATGAACTGAAGACATTTGAATACAAGGGACACACAATAGATTTCTCATTCAGTGAAGTGCCTAATCTAAAGAATGCATTTATCCATCTTACATCTTTCAAGGGAGGTGAAAGTGCTCTTTGGTCGATTTCTAGGCTTCTAGTCCATCTTCCCCAACTTGAAAATTTGTGGTTAAACTATTGCTTTGACTGGAAGGTATACATTTACATTTTCTTATAGCTCTTTTTACAAGTGAAGAATTCTAACTTGATCTTAATTTTTGATGTTTTAGATTGAGAACACTCCTGACAGAAAACTAGCTTTTGGTAATCTTAAACTTTTGTCAATTTCAAGTGCTTTCATCCCCCACCTAAACCTCTTGTGGTTAGCAAATGTTCTCGATGCATGTCCAACAATGCATTAGTTGGAATTGCACATAAGATTTTCTTCGCCATTGCGAATTTTATCATTTTTAACCATTGTTAGTAGATTAACACCTTAGAAGTTGCACTTTCTTCAAGAAGAAATAGAAAAAAGTTTAAGAAACTAAAAAAGGAATTTCATGCGAAGCTCACAATCCTGCACATGATATTGGAGATATCAAGTAGTTGATTTCAACATGTTTAATTGGTAGATTGTGAGATGTACTAAATTATTAATGTTGCAAGGGATAAGGCATAAGTTTCATGGCATTTTCTTTTTTGAACATAGTTTTAGTGCATTTTCTGAGAGCATAATTCAGATACATGTTTGAAATTATGCCTAAAGTTGTTATGATCAAAGAAATGATTTCAAATTTAGAATTTCTCATTCTTGACTGCAATGACTTTTTTCAAATGCCCTACATACTGCTGGTAAACAATGCTGATTATATTGATGAAGTTAGAGAAATATGGTGGCCCTCTAGCTGCCCCAGTGATTATCTCAAGGAAGTTCTGATAACTGGCATGCATGGTTATATGAGTGAAATTGAGATTGCTGTTTTTCTACTAAATAATGCTATGGCACTACAGAAGATGGTGATTGACCCATGCAGTAGATATTACAATGGGTGTGGCAAATCGGAAGCTTCAGCAGCCTGTGCAAGATGGATTGGAACTAGAAGGCAGAGAGTTTCTAATCATCTTAGAGTTGAAGGTCGTCCACAGGTACAACTTTTGATTCTGTGACTATGTATTAGGAATACGGTGTTGATGATTTGCTAACTGCTCTGAACTTGGCATGAAAAATGTTAAATGTCCAGTAATGTGATAATAAATAGAAGTTTTAAAATGAAAATTCAACTCTTGATAATTTTGAGACAATGGAGCTAGCAAAAAACAAGAAAGTGTGTTTGTATTGTAGGTATAGAATGAATGAAAGGCACTGAAACAAGCATTTATGATAGGAAACTAGATGCATGAAACGCAAATGTACAGAAGGTTACTTTCCAAGTTCATCCTTATCTTTCTTAACTGTGCCAGATGCCTGCCAGAGTTCCCCCAAACACTTCAGTAGGGTAGTTTTCCCTTGTTAATGGTCATTAAGAACCCCAGTGAAGTGGCTAGGAGAACTCTAGTGGACAGCTGACTATTTGTCTTCTCTGGTACTCAGGAATACAAAGCAAACCACACCTATTTATAATGAAAATTCCATACAATATGCACATAGCTGGAAATTTGTGGGCTTCCATGGGGGACCATAATAGGTGATAGAATTCTATTCTATATACATCAGCAGTTATTGGACTTGAATCTGGTTAGAATTGTGGAATTGGTGATGGATAGAGAATATTTGGAGGCGGCAACTGAGCAACACATAAACAGCCATAAAATCTCCACACCCTGTTTGAATGGTGGCACATACATATTCCCATCAAAACAGAAAAGGGGAAATCTTCATAGGTTTGGTTTATCTGCTGGTTTAGTCACTACATATTTTTAAGAATAATCTAGCCTTTAGAAGGTTAATGTAGAGCTTTGCCAAATTGTATTAAGTTGTGTCATTGATAGATTCACTGGTTGCCTCCCTTTCCTATCATGTATCCAGAAGCATAAAACCTTTAAGAAGCTGTTGGCCTAGATAATGGCAAATCAAGAGGGACGAATTGGGTTTTTCAAAATGCAATTTTTGAGAGAAAATCAATGAACAAGCAAATGCATTCACAAAACAAATAAATTAAAGTATGAAAATTAAATGAGTAAAAGGAATATAAAACTCAAAAATAATGATTTATAATGGCACAACTTGTGCTTAAGCCACCGGAAATAAAATTATTATTAAATAAATTGTGAGTATTAGGTTTTATATTTGTATTTGTTTTGTAATCATAAAAATTAAGAACAGAAACCACTGCATGATAAACTAATAATGGAAAACGAACAAACCAGTTTCTAAATATCATCTTTTGCTGCTCTATTGCTGTTAACTTGCATTACAGCTTCAATTGGAACTTTGAACATATGATTACATCAAAAACTTGATAGCACTAAACTCTGGTAGTCATCTCAAAACTGCTAAAGCTAAGCCTACTAAATTTAATTTTAAGTCTAATAAATAAAGAAAAAGAAAGCTAAATAAAAGTGAATCTAGACGCTATAAGGGGAGAGAGTAGGCAAACAAAAGTGATAGCTCTATGTGTCCATTTACCATGTGTTCTAGATTTTTTGCTGATATCCCTTTTCCGGCCACCTTCTAACCAGAAGTGATGAGAGGGGTTAAGGAGAGAATGTTTAGACGAACTTTCTCAAAAGAAACACAAAAGATTGAAATGATAGAGATAGCTTAGAGATGGAAGAGTTGGAAAGAAACAAAAGAAGCTTGTGACCAACTTGCTACTATTATTCTCTAGTGTTTATCTTTACCCAAATAGAGACCAGGTTCAGTTCCACCATTTTAGTGGCTGTCAAATTAAATGATATCTATTGAATCTGTATTCTTCCTTCCAATTACCATTTCTAACCGTGTCAATTGAACTTCCATAGGAAGGCTTGCCTAAATATATAGCAAACAATCTGCATGTGTTAACAATTTAGCATTAGCATAAATAGATCTAGAAAGAAATCAAGGGAGGGTCTATCACTTGTAGTTCCCCTTACCACTTCACTGGGGCTCATTCCTTCCCTGTCCTATTGAAGTGTTTGGGGGAACTCTGGCCGAGAGTTGACACACTATTACCATCAACAATTTCATTGGTTATCCTATCAGTGATCCTTTCTTCCTACGAATAAGGTTCTTTGTTCAACATTTTACTTATCAGCATCATGCAAGTTTTTTTTGGTTCAATTTATGTAGTTATTAGAAAATTGAACTTAAGGTTAAGAACAAAACAATTAAGCTTAAGAACAAAACAATTAGAATTTTTCAAAAACAACTGAATAACACTTTTAATATGTGGAACTCAGTGTTTAAAATCTAAATTTATTTGATAGACATAATGAAACAATACACTGCAAATTTGAAACAAATCTAAGCAACAACAATCAATAACAGAGCTCTCACAACTTACAAGCTTACAGAAATCCAACAAAACAAACCTAAAGAAAACTCGGTGACAATAGGGTACAATATAATACTATACCGTAACTTACAAGCTTAAAGAAACCCAATAAAACAAACCTTAAAAAGCAAGATACAATACAATACAATACGGTTATTTCAAAAATCCAAAGTAGCAAACCCTTTCCATTAGTCCATGTAACACTTGCAAATTCACTTTTGATCTTGAGTCTCTTGCCCTTTCAAATTTTAAGAATTGAAGAAAATGGTAAATATTGTTTGTAGCACTGTAAGTAGAAGCAACAAAGTTGCAGCAAGAAAGGAGATTAAAGCCGATGGAGTGTTGAAATACTTGTGCCTTATGTTTGCCTTCCATCTATTCCAACGTTTTTCGTAATGCTTGTTGACGTCATCAAATAACTTGGCATAAAAAAATAGTTTTGGCATTAAATCGACATAATCTCCAAGCCTGTTGAACATAACCGCAACTGCTTCATCATCGCCTAACCAATTATCGATTATCCCACTCTTACAAAGTAACTCCACATCCTTCCCTGAGTTGATTAGGGAATTGATAAGCACCACATAATCAGTTAAGAATGTTGTATTAATAATGTCCAACTGTTCACAGGCAATGAGGTTACAATACAAACTCTCTGTTGAATCAGCAATTCTCGCAGTTGGCATCTCTAGTGTCCCTTTTTCAAACTTGATGTCAAATAAGCTCTCATTCCCTCCTGTTTCAACCTTTTTGAAGTCAATTCCTGCCTCTCTTAGTTCTGTAGCGGAACGTATGAATTTCCATTTTCCATCTGTTGGCTGCTCACGGTATTTATCCATTGCTTTGTCTGAAGGATGCCAATTGGAGAGTAATAAGTGTCCTATATGCTTGACATTTTTCATGGAATCGTCATTATAGGTTCTGTCAACCCTGAGCCCTGGCATTCTCCCTTCAAACCTTTTAAGTAACTGACTGATAAACCAGCCTTTTGGATCTGTAGAATCCTCCAACTGGAGGAAGAATGTTCTTGGGATTATATCCAATAACTTACATAGTACAAAAAAGGGGAGTTGATTCTCAACTAGAGCCACGTCATGCAAAATGCTTGTCCTGATCAGACTGGTGTTGCAGAAAGGATATTCTCTCAAGGTTCCCATAAAAAACTGAATAATAAAACATCCATCGAGGATCATCATTTCTAGAAATTCTTCCTTGGAAATATCTACAGGTTCTGAATAACAATCACGAGCTTTTTCCACCATATCTCCTATTTCTGATAGATATATTTGAACACTCTGATTTGTCCATTGAAGAAGCCAATTTAAAGATCGCACCTTTCGTTCTTCCATTTCCTTCAAGTAATCTTTATCGTGATGGTATGGACCAATAGAAATTACATAAGGTTCATAAGCTTTTTTATTTACCTCGCGCAGTTGGTGAGGCACTCTAAAGATTGTCTGCTTTGGCATTCTCCAAGGCGAACTCAGCTTCTGCTCTATGATTGCGCGGTCATTTTGTATAGCAATTGATACATGGCAACTTGTTTCAGTTTTAGCTAACTGAGAAATTTTTGCCATCCCCTGATGAAAGAAATGTATAGATACAATCTCAGTTTATTTCTTAATGGAATATCCCTTATAATAAATACTAACTAATAAGATTATCTCTTTACCATTTTAAAAAAAAATTAATTATCATCAAAAAAATTAATTAATTTGCTTTGTCAATTGAGCCTCTTTTAGTATGGCTATGGTTTTGGATTTTTTTGTTTTGTTCATTATATATTTTGTAATTTTAAACTAAAAATTCATTTACTTTTATGTGTTTTTACAACATATTATTATGATTATTAAAAAAAAATAACAAAAATAGTATTAATGCTATTAAACAAGTAGATATTTTTAGTTTTAGTGTTAAAATTTATTTTAAACAAATTTTTAATTTTTTACTTTAATTAGTTTTGGTTTCAATAGTTGTAAAATTTATAAAAACAAAATAAAATAAAAAAACTATACTAAATGAAGCCTAGAAAGCATAAAACTTGTTAGAAACTCAGGGTAGAAATTGCTGGGTAAGAAAATCTTACATTGAGAATATAATAAAAAAATATATATAATTTAAACATGAAGAGAGTTAATCCACTAATTAATAATTGTTTTTTTTTTTTGAATAAGTCGTCAAGGGGCGGGGCTTCTATGGGGGAGGGAAGAATGCACTTCAAGTTGGTTGGGCGCCAATTGACCTGAAAGACCAAGTGCTAATTAATAATTGATTTTAGATTAATAGAAATCTTGTATTGAATGAATGCCACATGTTCAATTTTTTGATGGTATCATAGCCCCGACTCTATTTTTAAGAAACCTACTGTTAATTCACCTAAAATTCATATTGCACCTGCATATAAAAAGTATAAAAAAACTGAATATATAATCTTAAATATAAAACTTGTATTTAATTCAAAACTAATTCCCAAGTTGTGGAAAATGTGAATAAGCAAAAAATGTAATCACTAACGCTTTTTACTGGAAATTCAATAATGGCTTGAAAGTCAATTTTTGGACTGCTATATGGCTTGGTAATGAGTCTTTTTTTGACTAATGACCTGTGAATTTAAATAAATTAAAACAAATTAGATTATTTTTAAACAAGATTTAAATTTATTTTTTTGTAAATGAAAGAAATAAGTATTGGAAGGCATTCTTCATTCTCAACTCCACTCTAGATTAGTAACCCAATTTAGCTTTAAGATACTAGAAGATTTAGTACCATAAAAAAGATTCATCTTTTTTGGATTTATTTCCAAGGCTTTTTAAATTGAGCATGAACAGGAAACTAACGGTAGCTGAGGCCGGCCGCTGGAATGGAAGTTCTTGGTCGTGGAATATCCAAAGGAGAAGAGACCCGAGAGACAGAGAAGCTGAAGAGCTTCGCTTAATGCAAGCCATGCTGGGTGATACACAAATGAATGTAGCTGCTGACGATGAAAAACTCTGGCGATTTAACAGAAGCTCAGGGTACACTGTGGAAGGAAGCTTACAAGCACATGATAGACCATAGCTGCTGCTTGGATAATATGATTTGCAAAGTTATTTGGAGCAGACTTATTCCTTCGAAGGTTAGTACTCTGGTTTGGAGAATCATGTTAAACAAAATCCAAACTAAGGATAACTTGTTAAAAGAGGCCTATTGCATGTAGAAGCGGATATTATCAGGGAACCATCTGTTGCTAATAAGTTATAAACTCTCAAGCAAGATTCGGCAGAAATGCTGCAGCTGGTGGGGGATATGTTTTGTTTGCCCTGGGACTGTTGATGACATGTGTTATCAGTTTGCGCATCGAACGTTTGGCCCTTACATTCTGGACAAGGAGCGTTAATTTTTCTCTGTGGTACTTTGGTCTATTCTGGACAGCACGAAATGGGATTGTCTTCAAACAAGAACAGTGGGATGAAGGTAGAATATTTGATTTCATACAAGCTAAATCATGTGTGGCTCAGAGGAAAAGCAGAAGATGTACAATTCACTTTTAGTGATTGGATTCAGTTCCCACTGGCTTGTGTTGATAGGAGATAATGCTGTATTTATTGTATAGTGACTGTTCTTAAGACTTTGTAATGAACATGTAACAACTTGAGGAATTCTACCTCTTTTAATAATATTTCATTTTGGCTGATAAAAAAAAAGACTATAAATAGAATATATATATATTTTGTATTTTAAACTCATATTTTTTTATTATATTTTTTATTTTAAAATTTTCTATTTAAGAGAAATAATATAAGGATCATAGGCTTTTTTATTTACCTCAAGTAGCTGGGGAGACACCGTGAGGATTTTCTGCTCCTTGCTTGCGCGGCCGTTTTGTATGGTAATTGATACATCGCAACTTGATTCAATTTCAGCTGACTGAGAAGCTTCCGCCATCCCCTGAAGAAAGAAAGGTATAGATTCAACCTCAATTAATTTCTTAATGGAATATCCCTTATACTACTAATTAATAAAATTATCTCTTTACTGGTTTTTTTTTAATAATTAATTTACTTTGTGGTTTAAGAAACTATATAAACATTTGATGATCGGTAGAGAGAACAATTGAAGTATTTGTTTAAGGAATATTGCAGAAGCTTACTTGTTGGAAGTTGGAAACGGGTGCTCAAGGACCGGATAGAATCTATGAAGAGCTTCTGGGCAAACATAAACAGAGGAGACTGGATAAATGAAACGAGATTGTGAGTGCCCAAATGTACAATCTCCTATATATAGAGCCTACGACTTGACATTTTGTAAAATGTCTTAACAATTGAAAACTTAAATTTAATGTTAAAAACCACAAGTAAAAAATTTGGGAGGAGCGGAGATGGTTTTGGAAAAGGAAATATGTTTTATTTCTTATTGTAAACTCTGGGCTCGTTTTCTAGAGGTTAATTTTACTATAATTTTTTTTTAAAAAAAAGTGTTTGAAAAAGTACTACTTATTATGTTTCAAACTAATTTTTGTTTTTTAACTTTTTATTTATTTTTTATTTTTTAGCTTTAAATTTATCTTAAGTTAATTATTTTCTTTTTATTTTTTAAAATAATCAAATATTTTTTACTTTAATATTATTATTATGTATTTACTTTTATTATTGATGCGTATTAGTCTTATTTCCTTAAAAAAAAAAAATCCTAACTTACATTTGGAAATCAAAATCTCAATTCATAGTTCAGAAATTCACCTATTAAATGTTGATATATAGATTTGGAAACCGATTATATATTCTAATATAATTAGTTTCTAAAACTAAATATTAACATTTAATAAAATTAAATTAAATTTTGAATTGAATTTTAATTAAACAAAACAATGTAATTTAAGGTTGAAATTCTAATTTATTTTAGGGATTTTCTAACTTGTGCCCTTATGGTACAAGTTAAACATCATTTATTATAGTATTTGTAATTAATTTTACACAAAATTTTATTTAAGATTCAAATAAAATATAATATAAAATGTAAAAATAAAATAAAATATATTATTTTATCTCAAAATCTATAAAAATGTATAAATTTGACATAAAAATTTATGTAAAATTAATTAAAAATACTTTAATTAATAGATTTTAACCTGTTTCCTAAGAGTATAGTTTAAACAAACCCTTTATTTTAAAAGTTAGGCTTGATATACACTTTTCTTTGTTAATTATCTTATAATAAAAAGTCTCACTTTATTTTAACTTTCTTTAATTATAATATAAGTAAATATATAAATTATTTTTAAATTCTTAATTTTTTTTTAAAAAAACTGTTATTCTGAAATAAAAAGAGTATATCGATGATAAATTTTATAATAAAATTTTATAATAAATTTTATTATTTCCTACCTTGATTTTTTAAAAGCAATATAACCAATTAAAGAAAATAATACGCACTTCCGTACCCCAGATCCAAGATTTTTTATCAGGGAATGCATTATACCTAATATCTTGGCTTGTATTGATCTATAATTTGTTATTATCCATAATAACCAGGAACAGAGCTTCATTGGGGCTGGAGGGCCATGCCCCCCCCCCCCCCCCATAAGATTTAAAATGAAAAATGAATATGTTTAATATATTTTTTATTTTTAGTAGTTTTCGCATTTATTTTACTGTCAAAAAATAATTACGTTTTTATACTATTAGAATTTATTTGTATATAGATCATAATTTAGTATTTGATAGTGGCATAATTGGGAAATAATTGGAAATTTTTAAATATTTTGAATTTTTAGAAAATGATTTATGGAGTAGAATTTCTTTTTGTTATGCAGAGCAATTATTTGATTAGTTTTCTCAGCGGGATGCACTTTCTCTACTATACTTTATTTTAGTATTATTTTTTGAGTTTTTTTATTAGGAGTATTTAATTAGTTTAATCTCTTTCAGTATTGATTAATTTTACATATAATTGATCTAAACTCTAACAAACTCATATTTATCATTATTAATTTTTTGGGTTTAATAATTAAGATGTCTTCAAGTAAGTTTGTGCACACCTCGATATTAATTCCTCTTTAATTTAGTAGAAGGTAATCTTATAATTTATACCATAAGATACAATTAAAAATATGATGAAAAATTAAATTTAAAAATAAAAGTAGAGTTAAAATGAAAAAGAAATTTATATATGTTAAAAAAAATTTGTTGACTCCATAAAAATTTTGGTCGTCAAGCTCCATCGCTGATAATAATCGTTTTCATTTCTTTTGTAGCCATTTATACCTAAGTATCTAACCTAGATATTTGTGTTTGAAAGTTTATTTTGGAAGTTCAGTTAGAAAAAAATGTTACCTTCCTCAAAAATGTCATTTGAAAAAGGGGTAATTAAATGCATTCTCAAAGGCCATTTGGGTAGAGAAATTTTTCTTCTTAAATTTTTCTTATTAAAAGATTATTTGTGTATAATCTACTTTTAACCTTTTTACTAACTTTCTCTATATCAATTATTTATTAAAGATAAAAAAATTAATAACTTAACAAAATTCTAACAAAACTTATTACAAAATTTATCAACTTTTTATACAATACTCCTACTATTCAAAAATACATTCTTGCAAAACTAAACCAAAACCAACAAAGCATATAGGTATATAACCCAGGAGTTTCAAGCAAACAATTACACAAAATAATCTCCCAACAGATAACTACATCTCTGTTCTAAATTAGCCTTGCATTTGCTGTTGTCTATGAAATTGCTGCTGGAGATACTTGTGCCTTTTCACAGCAGTAGCACACTCAATCGGCCCTAGTGTCCAGTCATGAAATGAGAAAACATATCCAGCCACCTTGTTTTTAATCCATGCAAATATTTTAATTTGCACAACATCCAGCAACTTCTCCCCAAAGTTCCGCCCATTTTTAAAAACCTTAGCATTTCTTCCGTACCACAGAAGCGAATCCACGAATAAGAACAAACAGGATCCCACCTCCTTCCCTACATCCCTCCCTAAACCATACATGAAATAATCAGCCAATAAATCTCTTACATTATTCGGTAACACCCCTCAAATCCCCATCATTACAGCATCTTCATCCAAACAAATTAATCATGCCTCTTTACATGTACAAAACAAAATGATTATTCTAAATGTGGTTATTGTCACCACAAAACATGTTAAAATCATTAATTTTTTAATTTTTTTAAATAATGTTTAAAAATATCAATTTGTTAATTGAATTTAATTTGTGAATTAATAAATATTAATTGTTTTATTAATTAATAATTAATAATTATAATTATTAATTATTTTTATTAATTCAATTAAATAAAATTAATATTTTTAAAAATAATGTTTTATAATATTTAGTGATCTTAACCGTTTAGACCAAAGAAGTAAATACCGTACCGTATTAACCGGTATGGTTGTACGTATCGGTTTTTAAAGTTAACAGAAACGGTATAATATTAATTTTTGTTTCGATCAAAATTCGGTCATTTCGATCAAAATCCGATGTACTTATTGAAATTTCGGTGTACTGACTGATTAACCCAAATTTCAACCGGTACACACTGGCAAATTAAAAAAAAAAAAAAAAGGATTCCCTAGCCCAAAACAACGTCATTTTGGGCTAAGGGCTTCTTAATAGCCTGTAACTGCAATTTCAGATACCGGTAAACAAAAGTTATCCATACAACTCAATTCAAATTTAAAAAGGATAAATTTCATTTTTGGTCCTCAACTTTAATGTTATATATAATTTTTATTTTTTAATTTTTTACGTACTTTTTTAGTCAATTTTTCATTTTTTTTAGTTTTTTTTATCAATTATTTTGTTAAATTTATTTAAATATACACATTTTTTGGTCCCCTTAATTTAAAGTAGATGGACGAAAAATATACATATATTAGAAGTTGAGAAACTAAAAATGATCATTTTAAGCTTATTTTTAATTTATAAAAATATCATAATTTTAAATATTA